GGGGGGGTGTTTAAAAGGTTGGCTTCATTTTCAAATAGTTTGGTTATACATGAAGCTTTTTAGCTTTATGTTAATTACTAGTTTGTAATGGTTTTGTGGTTTGTTAGAAGTCTCATAGACCTTCATAAGTATTTTTTCTACCAGAAGTATGTCAAGAGTATGCTATTTGCTTCCAACTGTTGCATTATGATGGCCCTTTATACACAACATTGCTTGTTTTGGGATGGACAAACAGTCTAGTCTTCCTTAAAACTACTGAAGTTAACTGAAAATTATGCAATTATAGTATCTGAGATGGTGATTTGCTGGCAAGAATTGATGATTTTAGATAGAACAAATAGTTTGGTTCTGGTTCAAGAGCTTGAGTGGGAACTGGAAAATGTTAATAGTTTCATGATTTCTCTAGGCGGAAGCAAGGAGAGGGCCAGGGTTAGGGCAAGAAGAGGATTTCTGTTTGCTATTAAAAAGGGTTGTTACTCATTAGTTTAATTTTTTAGAAAGTTTAAGAACTTATTTTTTTGGACATTTGAAAATATTTAACGATAAAATTTTAAGTTTTTTTGTTAAAATAGAACTTTTTTAAAGCACCGTAGTAATTAAGGGGTCATAAAATTAATGATGTAAGAAGTTTAGGGATTTATCAATTAATTTGGCTTTAAAGTGAAAAGGGAATGAATCCCACATCGACTGACAGTGTACGGATTTAGTAATATTTAAGTCATGCTCTGAGAAACGCAGTTCGGCCTACGGGGCCTGGGCTGTAATGAGTTCTCAGATGGTCTCATCTCCAAGCCTGGGTGGATGGCTTCCTTGTCAGCCCATTTCAAATATGTTAGCCCGCCGTGCAAAGGAGGGGGGCTTCTGACTAGTTCCCAGCCCAACAAAATTTTTTTTTCCCGAACACCTAAAGTAATGAATATTAACCGTCTTGGATTCAAAAGGCAGCGACTTCGACTAATCGACTTTGGTTGAGTTGGCCAACACAAACCATGGTTGAGTCGCCGCGCTCCGACACGACGGTGCCGCTGTCCAACGGGTACAAGTGAGTTTCACCCCATAATCACAAAAATATGCATGTAGACCCATAGCGAGTTGACTAGTTGAGGTTAGCTTTCTGTAGATCTAAAGGGATAATTATTTCCACTTAGATGTTGACATATTGAGGCTAAATGCACGTTTAAATCTTAACTTCCATCTAACCGAAATATTCCTCAGTTTAAAGAGAAAACCATGATGGGGTTAAGTGCATGATTTTTTTAGTTGTTGGGACAAAGCATACCTATTCTAGACCTCGAAGGTGCCAGTGTTTTTCCATATTTATTTATACATAAAAATAAGAAAATGTAAAAGAAAATAAATAACACGTTATTTTGGGTAGAAAAAATTAAAAATTTTTTTTAAAAAAATAAGGTGAGTTTTCCTGACTCCAAACAAGCATATTGTAGTAGATTGACAATCAATTATAATAATTAAAATGTGAGAATTAATTACAAAATTATTTAAATAATTTAAATAATTTTTATGTGTTATTTTATTAAAAATATTAAAAAATTCTGTCATTATTTATAATATTTTAATTATAAAAAACCAAAAAAAAAAAAAGAAAAGAAAAGAAAAGAAAAGAAACACTGATTATCCACCATCCTAAAATAAAAAAACTCAAAAAGACGAATTTAATCCGCCAGAAATATAAAATCTTTTCTTATCCATTCTTCTTTGTACTTCCTTCTCCCGCGTCTCAGAAAATGGTAGCAATAGAAACAGTGGCCATCTCAATTTTCTCACATCACCGTTGTTCTTCCTCTGAAACTCGTTCATGTCGCAAACCACCCTCCTCCTCCGTGAAATTCTACAAACCCAATTCCATTTCTGCCCTCATCCACAATTTCCCTGCCCTTTCTCTCAACTGCGCCGCCAGAAAGCTCGGTTTTTTGCTGTGCTCCACAGCGCAGGAGGTGGCTGCAGAAACAGAACCGGAGAAAACCCAGATCCCAAATGTAAAGAGAAAGGTTTTCGTGTTGAATTTGCCATGGTCTTTCTCTGTTGCTGATATCAAGAGCATGTTCGGCCAATGTGGAACTGTAACAGATGTTGAGGTAATTTCTCTATATGGATTCAGTAATATTCTTTTTCTCCTTTTGATTTCTGTGTGATATATGATGAATTTTCTTTTGTTAAATTGATATCTAGATTATTAAGCAAAAGAACGGGAAGAGTAGGGGCTTTGCGTTCATTACAATGGCTTCTGGGGAAGAAGCTCAGGCTGTTATTGATAAGTTTGATTCTCAGGTAAGTTGTACCCGTATTCTATTTTCCTCGCAATTGTTTTTTTCATTGTTTTGTAATGGAAAGTTTGTGTTTTAATATCATTGAACTTTTGCTTAGTTGACAAGGGTTTTCACCCGATTCTTTAGGAGGTAATTTCTCATTAATTCCCTAATTTCAGTGTGAAGCCTTTAACTGGACTGGGAAGGGATTAGTCTCAAGGTGGACACTTTGAAGGGATTAGTCTCAAGGTGGACACTTTGACCACCAAACCAAATAATAATAATAATATTGGACTTTGATAGAGAAAATATTGTGATTGCCTTTAGTTTAGACTCTATAGTTATATCTGTATCTTCTAGCTGGAATGTATCATTAGCTACTTAAGTGGATGTTGTTTAAGGTTATTGTTTGGTGTATATGCTCAGTTGCGCAACTACTTGATTGGAAGAGAAAATTTTAAATCTTTGTAGCAAAAGGACTACAAGTAAAATCAAAATGCATACTTCACTCTTATAACATCTGTTTTTACATTGCTACATCAATAATTTGTAAGATCCTTCTAACATGTTTGGATATCTGTATTATATATATTGCCATGGATGATTGTGCCCTTTATAGTCTCTCTCTCATCCACATGGCTTATTTTAATTTTGAGTGTTTAACAGCCTTTTTCTGTTCATTTATGATTTTTGGTGCAGGACGTATCGGGAAGAATCATTAAGGTAGAATTTGCAAAAAGATTGAGGAAACCTTCCCCCCAACCACCTTCAGGTGTCCGCCCTGGTGAGGCAATCCACAAACTGTATGTTTCCAATCTAGCTTGGAAAGCAAGGTCGAGTCATCTCAGAGAATTTTTCTCAGCCAACTTTAGCCCTGTTTCAGCCAGGGTTGTTTTTGAGGCTTCAGGAAGAGGAAAGGCTGCTGGCTATGGCTTTGTATCCTTTGCCACAAAGGAGGAAGCTGAGGCTGCTATTTCTGCTCTAGATGGGAAGGTAAAAATATGTAAATTGATTTTTCACTTTTTAGCATTCTACTTTGCTTTCAACTTAAGCTTCCAAAATAATATCCATAAATGTTGGTTAATTTCTATTATATTTTGCGATGGATTATGAATTAATTAGATGGAATTCTGTTCTATAAAATCTTTCAAATATATTGGCCAGAGGAGGATCCATTTCTTCGTAAATATCCTTGTCCTTGACGTTTTTCAGGGAATTGTATTCATTCTGACACAATGCTGGCTCATTATATTAATTTATTCTCCTCTCAATTCAAGATCATTGTTCTTCCCTCTTATTTTATAAGAAGCATATCTAACATTTGTGTTAAATAGCTCTGGCCAGAAACATATTTGCTTTGGATTCAAATTGGATTTAAACATGTACCTTTGTTCAGCGTTTCTACTGTTTTTGAAAATTCTTATAATTTCATTTTTGTTTTGCAACTTAACCATTTTGCATAAGTTTGCCTGTACCATATTGAGAAAATTCCATTGGATGAGGAAGGCCTTAAAAATGTTCTTGGCATCTATTTTCATGGCATGTGTCCTTTTGGTTCTTGAAGAAAGAGAACAGACTAGCAAAAACTTTTCTGTTTCCGTTATGCAGGAATTGATGGGCCGACCAATCCATTTAAAATTCAGTGAAACGAAAGATGGTGAATCTGGTGTTAGCAAAGAGGAAAAAGAGGATATTTCTGATATTCAATCTGAAGCATTGTAGACCTCCGGTTTTTATCCCACCTATATGAGGCAGAAGCTTATTTTGATGTCACCCAGTCCCTTGGTCTGTACATTTCTGCTTTGTTTTACAAACCCCCTAGCTGAACGAATACATTTTTTTTTTCTTACAAAATTCAAATATAATTTTTTTATAGGACTATTACAAGTCTTCTGTCTATTGTCTAAACAGAGGGATTATTTTGTGGGAAGGTGTTCCACCACAACATTTTGACTCTATGCTTTTGAGTTTCTTTCTTGGAAACCTATTTAGTTAGAAATAAATGACATTTTGGTGCTAACCCCAACAACAATATAACTAACTGGTATCCAGAATAATGGTAGATCCAATGTACAAAAACTGCATTTCCTGATGCTTCCCCTAGAGTTTGGTTTAACCTTCTGTTTCACCTTTGTTGTTTTGCTGTTGGGAATCATTTTATCGCTCAATCAAAATTTAAAAAAAAAAAAAAAAAAATAAATGCCATCATTTATTGTCTTGCCCATACGGATTTGACAACCATCTATTTAACTTGAAGTTGCATGTATATATCCATTTTATTATTGCATCTTTTGGATTTTTATAGGCAGATGGATGGTGATGGCATTCATGATAAACTGAAAAATGTAGTTGAACAATATGGTAGTTCTTGCTGGGGCTATCATAAAATTTAGTGCTTATTTTTCATGCCTACTTTTCCATGGTGAATTCTGGTTTAGTACTGCCCGCAAAATCCCAGAAGCAGTTCAACGAAAGAGGATAAAAGATCCCCAAGGGAAGCTGCTATATTGTATGGACAAGCCTGTCAACCAATAAATGATGCTTGATGATCTTGCTTGCAAGTTGGAAATCATGGCCTTTGTCTTAAGACTTAAGGTATGCGACTCGGTTATATTCCTTGTTCGTTCTTCTATATATATTTTCATTTTCTGAAAGAGGCGTGGTTTTGATTAACTGTGTCTTGCTAGTTGCTATCACTTTCTGATGTTCAAATCAACTCTCATCAATGAAACCCAGAGTGTGTGGTGATAAACTGAACATTAATTATCAGGTGGTTGAGGCAGCATGAAAAATGAAGTTGTTGTGGGCCTTGCATTAGCATAAGCTCCAGAATGTTGGTGATTGATTTTCACGGACATTCAGACCATACCATGCAATTCAATACAGAACTTTGCAGAGTAAGCAAGGCTCATTTTCTGGGTCACTTTTGTCTCCTCTTTAGTTGCAAGGAAGAGAAAAGCTAAAGAGGTCATTTACTCTAGCAATAAATGGACCCAGTTGGCTATGGAGCCTGCTGGACCCTCTTTTGTATTCCATCCCATACCATGAGTTAGACTTATGATACACAAGTGGTGAAAAGAAAAAGGAAACGCCTTGAAGATATTTATCTTACATGAGCTCATATTTTCATGATTTCTTATGGCAGCTGAGGGTAAAAGATCTACTCATAGTCTCCACTCATCTTCTATGACCTATGTTATGGTCTTTTTAGAAGCTGATGCTTTGTGAGACATAGTCATGTCGAATATCTTTTAAATAGAAAAATTATTAAAATAAGTTAGATATTCTAAGTCGGTACTATATTAAGAGTTAAGACTATTCTTGTCATAATTGTAGATATATTATATTAGAATCATACATACAAATCTATCTTAACCTTTTGCTTTTTATATATTTGATCCTATTCTGACTAATTTAAACTACTTTTTCATATAATCAGAATCTTATGCTCTCTGACCTCCACTCTAAAGAATAGGAAATTATGAGAAGTTTAGGAAGGGATATATGGGGAAAAGTTGCGACATTCAGGAGAAAGATCATTAAAGTTATGGCTAGCTGTTAGGTATGGTATAGGCCACCAAAGGGTACGGTAGAATTGGTGTGGCTTTGGAGGGGGAAGGGGTGGCCACCAAGAAAGTAAAAATGAAAAGAAAGGAAAGAAAATGAAGGGCACTAGATGTTGTTGGATGGAGAGAAAGAGAGTTCTTTGTTATCACCCATCGCTAATGAAAGTTTGTTTCCATTTTTTACCAAACCTACCCCATAAACATTGCATTATCAATTCTTTTAAGTTTTTGACTAACAGCTTTATCTTGTCAACAAAGTCATTTCAAAATCTCTGAATCTGACCTGGAAAATAGTCTTCATCTGTTGATAGAATCATACTACTTTCTGGAGCTCTTCTTTTTTCTTTTTTTTTTGCGCTCTTGTACTAAAGTTAAAGGGGAAGTGTGCTGTGGGGAAATGTTTCTCTACAAAATCTACCCTCTTACTTCAATGCAAGAGAAAAGATGGGCATTTGGGAGTGTGCTTGAGAGAGAATATATGCTCTTCTCAAATGGAATCTGCGGAACTTTATTGAGGCCCCCACAGCTACTATTTGATTCATTAAGATGAGTGTTCTTTTAGAAAATTATGTCTAGTCCCCACTGCCCACTAAATATTCTCCTTGATATTCTCTACCCTTCTTTTACTGTTCTTGCTACATGTTCCCATTTAGTATTTTCATAGATGTTCATTTGACTTTAGTTAAGGGGAAGAGAGGGATCAGATAATATACTCTAGGTAGAGTATATGATCGAGTCTATTCAGGAATAAGAATTTTGTCCTGAAAAACACCCTGTTTGGCTGGTGAAATAATAATAATAATAATAATAATAATAATAATAACTGTTATACCTAGTTCGACGGCTATTTGTATACAAGAGCATAACTTTAGTTAAATCTTACATTAATTTATGAGAAAGGTTGACGGTAGGACTAAGAAGTAAGTTCCATGCAAAATAAATACGTTTATACACACTCACTTCCAACTGCAAGTTTGCAACTGGTTTCCAAAAATAATAAAAGCATTGATTACTTTAATGAATTCCCAACCAACATCATCTCATTTAGTCAACAAACCATTATCTCCATAAAAAGAGATACAGGCAAAGAAAGAAAAAGAGACTTGGAAGAAAAGAAAAGAAAAGGAATACCCTTCTGTACCCTCCTCTCCCCTTCTTTGCTTCTCATGTAATTAAGTTCCCCTTGGCTGCTTTTCCACCCCATGTTGTCTCTGCACATGAAAACTTTCACACTCTTTTTTTGGCTAGTCTGCATTCTGCAACTATAAGCCATCATATTCTTGTTTTTGAGGATATTGAAAGTGAATGATTTCGTCTTTCATTGGTTAGGTGAAGAGAAATGCTATGATATTACTACTTCTGTAGTTTTTGTGATGGGATCTGTAGGTGATCCAAAAACCTTGGTGCCATACCTGAACAGCAGAGACTGTTCTAAGGGCTTTTGCAGCTTGTACTGTCCTCAGTGGTGCTACATCATCTTCCCTCCTCCACCTCCCTTGGAATTTCCTCCTGATGATTCCAGCCCAACTTTCTCTCCTCTTGTCATCGCCATAATTGGGATCTTGGCCAGTGCTTTTCTTCTTGTAAGTTACTATACAATCATATCCAAATATTGTGGCACTGTGGATTCATCAAGAAGAAGAAGAGAAAGCCACGAGCAGAGTGAAGAACTTGAAGACAATCACAATCCATCTCTCCACGAGCCGTGGCAGACCGGGACGACTGGCTTGGATGAGGCTTTGATCAAGTCCATTACAGTCTGCAAGTACAAGAAGGGAGATGGGTTGATAGGAGAAACAGATTGCTCTGTTTGTCTCAGTGAATTCCGAGAAGATGAGAGCTTAAGACTCCTCCCGAAATGCAGCCATGCCTTCCATGTCCATTGCATTGATACGTGGCTCAGATCTCACTCCAATTGCCCTTTATGTCGTGCCAACATAATCTTCATCACTGCTTCACCCCTTCCGCTGCCTCCTCTGGTGACTGAAACTCCCTCCGGTAATCGATCTTCCGGTCATAATGAAAATACAGCCGCCGACGCAGAAAGGAGTGGTCAGAGACCGGAAAGGGTTCCACAGAACGAGGCCAATGAAGCGCCGACAAGTCCGTTTCGTGCTTTTAGTGATTTGGGGAACTTTCAGACAAGAGACGTCATAATAGAAATTAGTGATGAAGGGTATCAGCAGGTAAGAAGATCGGTTTCCATGGATCATTCACCCCGTGTCTCAGTTGCTGACATTCTGCAGACGAATCAAGATGAAGACGGTGGAGTATGCGGCGCAGGATCATCGAAACAATCATCGGAGGCGGCGGCCAAGTCCGGCAATAAAAAGAGAATGAAAAGATCCTTCTCCAGTGGGAGATTCTACCTCACTAGAGGGAGAGTCAGAGACACAGTTATTCCTCTCTGACTCTGAAAAATACAATCTTTTCTCTTCTTTTCTTTTCTTTTCTTTTTTAACAGAGATTAGAAATTTTGTGTGACTCGTCTTACATTTAATGATTCTATAAGAGATGGACATTTTCAAAATGTGAAATTTGTTGAGAAGTTCTTCTTGTTTAAGTGGCTACCAATGCTTTTGAAGGATAATCCCATTCTAATAGAAGTAAAATTTGAGTCATACTTTTTATATTAAAAAAAAAAAAAAAAGAGTGGTGAAATTTATTTTTTTCTATGATTTTAGAAGATATATCTTAGTATTTGTTTTAAAGTCTGGTGTATGTGACTCAAGCGGTTACCATGTGAATTTTCACTCACACTGTCAAAGTTTGATTCCTCTTCTCCCCGTTCCTCCCCCCTTCCCTACGTACCTCTAATTCCCCCGGTTAATATATATATATATATATCAGTGTTTGTTTCACTAAATTTTCCATGTTTAGTGCATGGTTTGCTGTCAAACTAAATGTTTGGGTTCTTCGAGAGGTTGTGGGATCCGATCATAACCAATAAGAGTTTTTCTTTTTCTTTTTTATTAATAGAAAGAAATATAATATTAGATTAGTATTTATTCAAAGAAAATCAAATCTAAAACCTAACTTTGTGGATCAAAGTGCATTCTACTTATTTTTTATTTTAAAAAAATATGATCATTTTTCACTTCAAAAAACCGTGACTGCCATTGTAATTACATGGGAATGCACTAACAAGAGTTTAATTGGCAATGACTTAAGCAATAGTTCAAGTTGTACTTGTTTGGAAGCCAATTAAGCTGGCACGCTTGAGCCAGTACATATATATATTATATGAAAGAAATATAGTAATGGTGTAAAATAAAGAAAGAATTAATTAAAAGAAGTAAAAAAAATAAAGAGATAAAGTGAGCTACCGTCAAGATAAATTATATCTTTTTCTTTCTTTTTTTTTTCTATACATTTGTAAATTTGCAAGGGTACAAGTCTTATATATAAGGGCCAATGATTTAAACACATATTAAATGAAAAGTTATAAAAATTAATCACCTATTAATAGAAGGATTACAAATAATTCTATTCTCATTATCTCAATGTATGGTATCATAGAGTATTAATTACTATTATAATTATATGGAAGTAGTGGAAGTTATAGAATTTGTTGATGTGTAAATATCATGGATAGTAGGAAATGAAAGATGAGAAAAGTGAAATATTTAGAATGAATTGATTCATAAATTGATTCATGACAAGTATTATTTTTAATTTAAAAGACGTCTATGAAATTTATAAGTAATATCATACCTTAATCTCCCAAAGTTATTTTAGATTTTTTATTAAACTCTTGAACTTAGTAATCTAAACAATTTAACTCTCTTTCTTTACGATAGATATAATATCTATTTATACTTTATTTACATAAATAGAGTATTAATATATTATTGTTTTCGTAATAGGTATTAACTTTATTTACAAAATAAGGTACAAAGAAATGTTAAGTTTATGGTAAAAAAATAATTAAATTACCTAAATAACTAAATTTAAAATTTATTTGCTTAAATAAATCCTAAAGACTTAATGAAAAATCTAAATTAAATTTAGAGACATAACATAAAGTTTCGCCTTATAAATTTTCACAGGCTTAATTCAATTTTTAGTCTATTAACTATCACCTTAATTTCATTTTAGTCTAGAAACTATGTTTTATTTCTAAGTGGTCTATTAACTTTTAGATTCATTTCAATTTCGTCTACTTGATCAAAGATAACAGAAAACTTCTTATTGTGTTAGAGAACAGTTAGTCCTCTGATTATATTTTTTTTGATTTTTTAGTCCTTAAATTTATATTTATTATAAAAATAACTTTTTTACTTAAAATTATTATTTATAGGCTCTGATACCAGATTTTTATACTTAAAATTATTATTTCTAAATGGTCTATTAACTTTCAGGCTCTGATACCAAATTAAAGAAATAAGAAAACCCGTATAAAAATCTGGTATCAGAGACTATAAATAAAAATTTTAAGTAAAAAAACTATTTTTATAATAAATATAAATTTAAGGACTAAAAGATCAAAAAAATATAGTCAGAGGACTAACTGTTCTCTAAGAGAATAGGAAGTTTTCCGTTATCTTTGACCAAGTAGACGAAATTGAAATAAATTTGAAAGTTAATAGACCACTTAAAAATAAAACATAGTTTCTAGACTAAAATGAAATCAAAGTGATAGTTAATAGACTAAAAATTAAATTAAGCCAATTTTCACGTATATATTCTACTCTTCCACGTTGAGTGAGATTCTTTGCACTTCACTTTAAAGTCTACACTCACCATGTGAACCTTACTCTAACGTACCATATGCGTGGTAGATAGTGAGCCAATTATTGCAGAAGTAATTCATTCTTTATCTGAATTCATCATTTTCCTTGAAAAATGGTAAATTCACTTAAGTAGCAATAGACTTTTAAAGATACTTACAAGATAGAATTGGTAAGTCAATTCTGGCTTTCGCCCGTCAAGTTGGTCCGTTCTAGCTCGCGGAACACCCAAGAGAATGCGGCATCTGGATTATTATGGCTATCGTGAATCTTGCACGACAATCGATGTCGTTTACGTCATGGGCTAAATTCACATTTTTTTTT